CGGGAGGAGCAGCCAGCAGGGGTTGGTAGTGTGGAGCAGGGGGTGTGGCAGGTTGGCGAGGAATAGGCACAGCCAGGGGGGCGAGCTTGCAGCGCGGCGGCAACGTCCACGCTCGGCTCTAGGGGTGGAGCACCAAGCGTGTGCACGCACCTCGACCTCCCGGCACCAAGAAGCGTGTTCACCAGCGTGGGGGAGGCAGCAATGCCTCCTCGACCGCATGCAAGCGCAGCACCCGCATGGCGTCGCCCGCCGCCGCCCGCCCGCTGTTGAGCGGCCCGCTGGCGGCGGGCGGGAGGCTCCGCGCTGTCCGTGGCCCCAGCCTGACGGCCACAGATGCTCGCAGCCCCCGCGCACGCGCTCAAACGCATAAACTGGGTGCCCGCCGCACGGCCCGACGCCGATGGCGTGAGCGAGGCCGATCTGGCCAACCTCATACCGCTCAACGACCCAGTGGAGGTGCGCGGGGGGCGGAGAGGCGGGGGCGGGGCCATTGTTGCGCATGCTGGCGGCGGGGTGGGGTCGCTCTGGGGGGGCCGCGGCGGCCTGGTGCCGGTCGGGGCGCCGGCAGGCGGCGCCTGACGCCCGGGACCTCGCCCCTCCCCGCAGGCCCCCACCAGCGCCGGCATGTGTGGATCCAGATTGTCTATGCCACAAATTGGGGGCCTACAACAATACAAAATAAGCTTCCTAAGTAGTGCAGATTCGTGGCACTGTCACTATCCATTGCGTGATGTTATAGTGCCGCCATTTGAAAGCCGTACCAGGGCGTGCATGCACACATCGCTGCGGCTTGGGGTGGATGATGTCATTCATGCTACAAAGACGTAAGTACGACCTGGCAGGCTTGTGTGCTTACACCTCACCTCACTGACATCATCTCACTGCAATGAAAGAACTGCTGATTTGCGGGATATCCCATTTCATCGTGCAGCATGTTTTTTTTTGCTGGCGATGTGCGGCAAGGGCACCCTGGGTATAGGTGGGTACGAGCACTGTGTTGTGGGGGCTAAACAGCACATTCCATATTTATCCACTGTGTTTTCTTGCGCCTGGAGCTGCATCTGTTTTGACTATCTGATTCTCGTGGTTCCCACATTCTGTGGTGCCGCAGTGGAAATGCGCGCCAAACTTTGAAGAATTTGACAGAGGAGTGGAAAGACGCAAACTTCTCGGTTGGTGCATAAATTCCTTGAACACTGGTTGCGGGGAACTTTGCCCTGCATAGCAATGGTGCACCATCCCAGCTTCATGCTGCTTGGTGCAGCAGCTGGGATGTTAAATCTGCGTTCAGCCACAAAGCTGTGCGCCTCTTGTGAGATGCAGTCAGTGGAGGGTCAAACAGAAGACTATGAAAAACAGCTGCGTGAATCCATGTTCTGCTTTGCACCTTATGGTGTTGGCTGGGGCATTCGCCTGCTTTAATGCATCCTCACTGGATCCGTGCCTGTCATCGTCCAGGTAAGGTGACTGTTGTGAGGAGCGTCTTTATATCTGTTTCTCCACCTCCATCCTCCTGTCTTCTACGGGAGAATGTGTTGCAATACGCTGAAGACGCCCTGCCATACGAGGAATTCAGCATCCGGCTGAACAATGCTGACCTGCCAACCCCGCGCGAGATTCTTCGTGGCATCACGGGCACGCAGTACAAACGGCTCGTGGAGAGCCTGCCGCGTTATCGCCACGCTTTTCTTTGGGACACATCAGTGGGTGGCAGGGCATTTGATTACACAGTTTTTTCTTTGCGTCGTTGTTGGCTAAATCTTCAGGCATTGTATGTAGATTCTTGTGCGAGCAGAATAGAATTGTAGCGTTTGTCCGAAATGATACAGGATGGAAGTGTATAGTACCTTTTCCATCCTTTGAAAACATTTGACAGCA